GTGCTATCACAGCACTTGCAATGTTCTTTGCTGCTCCGGGCTGCTCCTGTGCTATCGCAGCACTTTGTTATAGTGCCATCGCAGCACACAACTACATCATCATTATGGTGCTATCGCAGCACTTTTTGTCACGGTGCTATCACAGCACTTCGGAATGAAGACCTCCTCGACGATGATGCCGACCTGTTTGGTCCTGCCAGGCCCTGATAAGAAAGTGGCTCTCGAGGCTTCGAGGTTTCACATACACCTACATATGCATGTACATATACACGTACATGTACATATACATATACATATACGTATACTTATACTCATACATATACATATACATAAACACGTTGAGTTTGCACTGTAGGAAAAATTACATGCTAGGTTCCGGTGTTATGATATCATGCTTCTCGAGTGTTACAGTCTGCCAAATTTGTTTCCCAAAATCCAAAACCACAAAACAAACGAGGCGTTGTCCATAGATTTTTCCATAGGTTTTGGCCGTCAACGACAGAGATTTCGCGATGCATTATCCCAAAAGATTTCGATGTTTCTTGCTGCACGACAATCATGCCCAACCTTTTGGGGGTATGGATTTTTTTACATACAGACAAAGCTAATGCATGTCGAACACATTTTAACACAAAACAAAGTCACTAGAACGACACAATCTCATACCCCTAATACCTTTGGCTCATCCCCCGGATAGCCTGGCCGAGGATTTTCTGTTCGGATTCCAAGCCCAAAACTGCAAGCATGCACGGGAGTCAGAACCAAGAAAGCGAGGGCAAACGCCCGGCCCTGAACCTACAAACTGCATCAGCCTGTGCATAGCACAGAGTACGTCATGTCGGTGCTCAGGCGCTATGGATGGCGTCATCTTTGCAGCCTCGATCATTGCGGCACAACATCATTTGCCAAGTGTCGAAAAAATCACCATCCGGAGTGTCGTAGCGCTGACCTCGACTTACTGCTCAATGCTATTCAGATGTGGCACACACGGATGCTGGTGGGTGCATTGCGGTCCACGTGTTTGCCAACTGCACCTTCGCACTATAAATATAAATAGTGTGCATGCAACCAGGAGATATTTGCTTTCAGGCGCAGTTGGGATTGAGAGTGGGATTGGCCTGCTCTCCAGATCTGAACCCCAAATCTCCTGCAAATCACGGGCTGCCATGTTGCGGTGTGTGTCCAGCCCCTGCGGCAAAGCATCTGGCCTCCAGTGGCAAATCTGAAAAGCTTCATGCACCTGCTTCACTCGGGTGGCCGAAGGTCGCAGGGTGCCCAGTCCCTTGCTCCAGCTCGCTGCTGCCAAGGCGCCCGAACTTAAAGATGACCTCGGAGCCCAGGATCGTCATGACGTGTTGATTGAGCGCGAACGCCGCTGGCCTGAGAGCCAAAAGAGAACGTATTGCAGAGCTATGCGAGACCAGTTGAACTGCATGGATGGTTGCCTCATGCATGCCGTCATGTTGCATACCGACGAGCTAGCAGCCGAATGCAAGAAGGCCACTGGCCACCCTAGCCTTGAGCTCTGATTGCGCTCCGCAGCAGTATGCTTCGGAAGTGCATGGCATTGAGGTCCGGTGGGCGATCGCTCAGGGGCGAAACTCGAAGTAAGACCACGGCCTTCTTGCCCATAACTGCGAACCATTGCTATGCACTGGCCCCATCTATGAGTTGGGAGAATGCAAGATGGGACATGTAGATGGGAAGCCTCACGAACACAGCACTTGTTCACCATAGTATGAGTTGTCGGCTGTTGTCACCAAGCTGCGAGAAGGGCTTCACCCGAAAACTGCCTGGGACGCAAAGCAGAAACTGCAAGTATCTCGCATGCTCTGGACTGTAGAGACTGTCTCGCTTGCCTCCCTCATGAACTGTCCGAGCTAGCCGATGCATATGCGATCTTCGCAACTACTGACTCCCGTCAGCGACTAGCTAGCCACCAGCCCTTGAAGGGTGGGAACTGTCGGCACATGTCGACGAAGCAAAGAACATGAGGGATTCCCTGACGTGTGGGGGCGCTGGTTCGTTGTTCATCCGTCGGATCTTCACTATATGATAGACTACAGGAAGTGCCGAATGCATCTGGTAGGCGCCACAGACCCATATGAAGCTCGCAAGTGTCCATGCAAGTACCAGCTCAGTGACTACTGAGCAAGAGCCAGCTAAGCAGCTGATGATGGATGCAGACTTCTGCAGCATGCTCCGCACTCTGAGCGTGCTCCCCGCCTGCAAGTCCGAGACATCAGACCCCGACACAGAAGAATCGAGGGACACCAGAAGTGTGTCTCTGTTTGGAATGTCACCCTGCGACGGTGCGGCGAGGCTTGCAGCACGAACTACGCCAAAACCCAGGTGCCTTTCCACGGCTGCGTGAAGCTGGCCTGGCAGGGCATGTGCCTTTAGTCGTATGGGATTTGGGCTTGAAAAATCCGGCTTAAATCTTCGTGGCTGTTTGCCTTAGCTGCTTCGCATAGACGGGCACGTTACTTAAGAATACATCTGCAACCCTAAAAGCTGCGAGTCTCCAACCCAAACGTAGATTGAAATCTCGAAATCCTCCGCCACTCCAAGTACCCCGAGCATTCGCAACCTCAGCCCGGACACCTGAGCACTCGAAGCTCACCCCCCCACCCCGGTCAGCACTCTGTGTCCCTCTCCTTGAAAGCTCGCCGACCGCGAACGTGCCGAGACCAAACGCAAGAGAGATCCGAGCCTGGGAAGAAGTTGGAATACAGATCCAAAGCCACGGTAGCTAGCAGTGCCAGCACCACGTCCTGTCTCAGTATCCAGCTGGACCTTGCGAGCTCAGCCAAGAGGCAGCTCGAGACATCGCGGGAAGACCAACCGCCGAACCAAGCAATTGGGGCCTGAGGGCTCCGAAAGACTCTCTTGGGTGTAGGGTTTCGGCTTTGGGGGCTTTGGGTTGAGGGTTTAAGCTCTGGGGGGACAAGTCATCTTTCATGGTTTGCTTTATCATCTTGCCGTAGCCTGCGTAACATCATCTTGTGCCGTTGTGATATTCGGCTTTGCGAGTATAGGGTCGCGGTGGTGTGCTATCCTGCTTTCATACGAGACCTTTAGCGAAGCGACACCTTGTTGCCTTATTGCCTCATACTGCCGAAAACTAGTCACTACATTCCTTTGTGCTGGCCTCCAGGACATCTGCGGCGAGGTGCTGCGCTGCCAGCATTCACGAGGGGGTTGTGCGACGGAAAGCATGGCAAATGAGGTTCCCTGTGCTTCTGAAGTCAAGCTCGTAGGCTTGAAGGGGGAGAAACATCTCTCTTTACAATGCCAGGTTGGTTGGCGCGGTCGAAAAGCTAAAGAGCCTAGATGCAAAGTCTAAGTGGAAGGCCAACCTGTGCCAGAAAGTGTAAGTGGCAAGTGGCGGCGTGCACAGCGACGGAACAGACTAAGCATCATGATGAACACTGCTGCATGATGGACGAAAACGAAATGCGTGAAACGCATCATTCCATAACATTCGCTTATCCAAGTCGTGGGTCCAAGGCGCTACCATTAGCAATGTTAACAGGAAAGCTGAAACAACGCTGGTGTATCTGCGGTCTGGTTCTGTCCAGCGCAATTGTCCTTAGTGTTGCGTTACTCTCCCCGAGCAAGGCTTTTCGAGTTCGTTGCCGGGTGGTGCAGTTGCAGTTTGTCAGAAGTCTCCGACTCAGAGTCTATCGGCCGTGCAAGCAACATGCGCTTCTGGGGCTGAGATTACAAATCCAGTTCTCGCTGCACCGCATGTTTCGACAGCGTGGCTTTGCAGACGACTCTGCGCAGTGAAAGATGAGAACACTACCACTACTGCCCCATTCGTGCGACTTGAAGCTACTACGAACCTGGACCCGCAAGCATATGCTTGCACGGCCTGTCTTCCGACTGATCCGCACTTGTGCAAGTGAGGGGCATGTCGGACTACTCGTGTCCCGCAAACACAGCGATTTCCGCACTGTGGTGAACAAACGAGCTCAACCAGGTGTTACGATACGCTTCGAACTTTAGGCGTTGGACCGATTCTGGAGAACCAACGTTTCGAAAGTCCCGGCAAGCGGGTATCGTGAGCGTAGGTGAGAGCTGCTCTGTCTCAAACGCTTCCACTTGCAGGAAACTGCTCACTCGCCTCCTCAACTCCGAGACTCAGTGCTGAGAAAGAAGGCTTCATTTCCAAAGCCACTATGTGATAGCGCCCATACTTCCTAGGCAACACCTACATGCAACTTGGACGGTCGCTTGAGTCTCACAGAAGTGAACATGAGCCTCCTAGTGTGCAGCCTGTGCACGTCCCTTCGCGAGGTTCTCTGCGACTAGGACTTGTGACTATGACTTACGGCCACAGGTGTCCAAGGAGTCTTCTGTTCCCTGCAAGCCAGGCCATCGGGTGTGCCATCATTTTCTGAACGGTATAGCTGCACAATCCTGCGATCTGAGCTTCGAAAGTCACAGTTTGTATGAGCCTTCTGGGACTCTGCTCGTCAGGAGCTGATTTTCAGGGCATCTTGGCCTGTACTTCTACTGCGTCAACCCAGCAGTCGTCCACGAAAACCGTGCCTCGTCACCCCTCACGCCCTCTTGCTGGGGCATGCTTCGAAGCTCATCGCCAATGAGTCGTGAATCGATCGACTGGCATGGTATCTGGCTCCATATACCACTTTGCTTAACGAGAGCTGACAGTTTGGGGTTCTGTTCTCTTCTTGCTTCCGATCGCGCCAGAAACCCGAAACATCGGTGCTGTACTCGGACCCTTCGGGGTTCTCAGGGAGCAACTTGGGCATCGAGTCGAAAGAATCCCCACAAGATTCTTGACGTCGCCATGGAAATTTGTATTTACCGGGGGATCAGAATCTTTCAGAATGCCCGCTCGGAGTTGGTTGAGCGTCCCGCGTGCAAAGGATCCGCTCTTGGCTGGCTTGTGTGTGAGCAAGAAAACTCTGAAGAAGTTGAACAACGGCCCATCTGACCCTGAACACTGCGTCTCACATTGTCGCTCTCTCTCACAAGTGGACGAAACAGAACGTAGTCAGGACAGTGCGCATCTGCTTGACGGCAGATCTCTAGAAACGCTACGCGTCCGTCCAAGATCCTATCATGCTTTGTAAGCTCTAGATGCTTTCACCGGGCCCCTCAGCCAATCAGCAAAAAAGCAAGAGGCATCGGCTTGCGATCAGTGCTTAGCGGCCGCCGATCCTGCAGCAAAAGCAGCAGCAGGCTTCTGGAGCGGTGTTGAGACATTGACAGGGGTCACTGGAGGACTTCAGGTCCAAAATTTGCGACTTGACGGCTTCTTGTGGATCAAGGCGGAACTCAGGGCTTAGGGACTGCGTCTTTCACACCAGGTCAAGCAACCACACGGCATGTTACCTGAGCGCTATCGAGACTGTTTGGGGCCGTTCTGCCAATGACATTGCCAGTGTTCAAGCGTGCGGGTGTGCGGGCGGGCGTGCGCGCGGGCGTGGGTGTGTGTGCGTGTGTGCGTGCGCGTGCGAGTGTGTTTTTGCGCGCGTGTGTGTCCATGGGTGTGCGTGGGCATGCGTGCTTGGGTGTGGTGGGCGCGTGTGGGCGTGTGGGCGTGCGGGCGTCCGTGTGTGCAGGCTGGCGGGCGTGCGGGCGGGCGTGCAGGCGGGCGGGCGGGGGTGTGGGGTGGGTGGGTGCGTGCGCGCGTAGGTGGGTTGATGGATGGGTGGGTGGGTCTTGCTGATTGTCAGCGTACAGATGTTCGCGTGCGGTTACATGTCTTTCTCGGTGTGTATAAACAAACCGGATGAAGTGGTATCACTATAATATCACTTTGTTCATGACGAAAGCCGTTTTAGGACAGCGTCAAGACTTCAACTGGCTGTCGCCAACCTGCAGGCGTCAAACAAAAGCCAGCTCACTGTTGCATAGCACTACCGTTGTTGCAGTCCTGATGTAAGCCCTGGGGCTTACCCAACACTGGTCTGGTATGTTCTGGTGGTGCTGGTGGTGGTGGTGGTAGTGGTAGTTCTGCTACTGCCGCTGTTGTCATGCTACCACTGTTTCCACTGCTACTACAACAGTGATGCTAGATAAGAAAAACTCGACCATCATCGCCATGATACCCGTGTCAACCAGAACAGTCGCATGGTCAATCACAGATTCTGACCACGAATCAGGGATCCCAGCCAGCCTTGGAGGTTCGTTTTTGTTGGCGCCTCCTTGACAGCAGTTTCCTTTCTTCTGCTGTGCCTGGCGCTCACAATGCTTGTTAGCCTTGGGGGGAGAAGAAACGACCAGCGGCAGGAATCTGCGTGTTTCTATTCTCGGTATGGCGCGTCTTGCAATGGAGGTCCTTAATCGTAGCTGTCGCAGTGGTCTTCAGTGGTGATGGTGCATATTCCGTCACAAGGCGTTCTTGTTTGGAAGCATGCTGTGTGACAAGGCCTTTGCCCATAGCACCCTGCGACAGACGACTGCGTGACTCCGGAACCCCGAAGAAGGTGGCTCCATGAACTACTCTGATTTACTCCTCCATTGATTGATGCAACGGATGCGAGCTTCTTCGGAAGAACGTACACCCATGTTGGTCGAACAAACCCGCACCTCACAGCGGAAACACCTGCTTTGAAAAAGGGTTCAGCCAGCTCGTACAACGCTTTCTACAGTGCCGAAGCTGCAAGCACAGCCGGTCGGACGCCGGGAGCACCCCCTGGCTGGAGACCTGAAGAACAACAGTTAGCGAGTTAGCGCCAATACCTCTCATGGAAATGGTTTGTCAAGATGTCTGTTGCGAAGGGCTCGGGACACCCAACCAGAACACGGTGCATTGTCGGGTGATTTTTTCTGTGATGTGCAGTCAGCCCATTGTGCCTAGGCCTAGGCATGATCGCTATGACTGACAAGGATGCTTGTCGAGATCTCGGCAAGCTAGATGAAGATGGCATCGATCCCTTATCGACTGAAGCGAATGTATACTAGCTGCGAGTTTCAAGCAAGTGCTCCGAAGGGGCCTTCGAGCAAAAGCCTCAAACCCGAAGCCCATCGAAAACAACATAAGCCACGAAAGCCCCAAACGGCCGCCCGCACCTCCCAGACCCTCCGGAAACTTCAACAACAACGGCATCCCACCCAACCCGCACAAGCATGCATCCTCTCAGCCCGCCACCGATGCCGGAAGGACCAGCTGCAGACTTCGGCTGGGCCTTCTGCCTCCTCCTCCGGTCGATAATGAGGATCTTAAGCTATATAGGGGTTCAGGTCGTGGAGATCCGTTGAGTTTAGAGGGGCAGTGGGTTTAGCGCAACCTGGAAGGACAAGGTGTGCAGCATCCAAAAATGCACATTGCGGGGACAGCCGCAGCCTCATTTCGACGAGGTTCTGCGCAGCAGTCAAGAACCTGCAGAATCTCAAAGACTGGAGCGTACCATGAGGAGTTGGGGTGCTATCCTCTCGGTGTACCTCTGTTCCAACATAAGATCTGTGACGACTGCTCCAAGCTCTCACAGCAATCAGGGATGGGTTGGCTTGAGGATCAGTCCGCACGTACTCTCAAAGTCTCAAAGCCACACGTCTTGCAGGGTTTCGTAAGTAAAGCCTGGGCTACGTCTGGGTTCTTTGGGTCGTGGTGGAGAGCACTGCACCCCGTCTCCTTTCATACTCGGTAGGGCTAGCTTGCAAATGATGTGTCGCAAGTAGTTGATACAGACCTCCTCCAGCTCGGGCCCTGCCTTGTTGTTCAGATTCAGATCATCCAACGCAAGGCTCTACGCATTGTACGCAATCACCCCCTGAAATACTGAATGGGGTCTTGTCGAGAGACGCCATGTCGACATTGGCGGCCGTCTTGGCCTGGAGTGAAAACATCGGTCGGCAGGGCTGGCGGGCTATCAAAAATGATGCTGGCCCTGGAGAAATGCTAGCCGTAGTGTATGCATGTTTGCTACATGTGCATAGTGTAGACAGACACGGAGCCAAGCAGGCATGCAGGGAGGCAGGCAGGTAGGTAGGCAGATAAGTAGATCGGTAGGCAGGAAGCTAGGTAGGTAGGTAGGTAGGTAGGTAGGTAGGTAGGTATGTAGGTAGGTAGGTTAGGTAGGTGCATATTTTGAAGACATGTGGTTGGTCCTCCAACTTTCTGCGAACATGCTGAACTTTCGAACACGAGAAGCTGGAACGTGCGACATTGGATACCTGGAAATCGCAAGGGCGAAATAGAGGCAATTCAGT